TGTGCTTGCCAGGCAGGCCTTTGTGCCACTGAGCTACCTCTCTGTTCCCTTGCTGCTGCTGCTTCTTTTTTTCTTTCTTTTTTTTTTTTTTTTTTGTTTCCAGAACTGGGGATTGAACTCAGACCCTTGCACTTGTCAGGGAAGCGCTTATTCTACTGAGCCATCTGCCCGGTCCCCCTTGCTTCTTTTAAGGAACAACAGTCATGAGATTAGGGCCATCCTAGTAACCCTATTCTAGCTTGGTCAAGCTTGCAAAGACCCTTTTTCCAAAGGACAGTCCTACCCTGAGGTCCTGGGGCATCTAAGGCCAGCCAGTGTAGCCTTGGGGGACACCATTCACCCCAAATGGGGCAGTTCCAGAGATATCCAGGAAGGCGTGTTGGAGTCCCCCGGGGCAGCAGAGCTTAGTGCCTGCCTTGACATCTGGGCAGCCCCTGTCCCCAGCTCTTCCTACATCCGGGGTCCTGGGGGGGAGGGGGGAGAGGTGCATCCAGGGGTCCTGGCAGTGTCCAGATGTGGAGGGGCGACAACAGGCCCAGCAGTAGGGCGTGGAGGCCGGTGGCTCTGCCCCACTGGGCCTGCCGGTGCCCGAAGGCGGGTGGGGCGGGCACTCGCCCCGGGCTGCGCCGAGACTGAACTGCCCTGTGGTTTGCCTCCTGCTGCGCCGGCTCCTGCCAGGGCTCAGAAGTAAGTTCCGGGGGACCTCGGAGGACTGGCGGGGGATGGGGGGGGGGGTGCTGGGTGCAGGTCTGCCCTGGCTCAGGGAGGCCCGGGGTGGTCAGGCTGGGGTCACCCTGTGGGGCATGTGTTGCTGAGTCCCCGCTGACCACGGTGCCCCCTGCACCCGCAGGCTCCGAAGTGTGAAAATCGAGCAAGGGAGGCTGAACGACCAGGCCAACTCGCTGGCTGACCTGGCCAAGGTGAGGGCCCGCTGGGTGGAGCCCCGGGGGTGGGGGTCTCACTGCGCCCCCTGCAGGAGGCCCAGAAATCTGCATTTGTGCCAAACATCTTTACTCTTTAGCACTGGCAGTTGGTTTTTATTTCAAAAGATTAATATGGGGGCCGGGGAGATAGCTCAGTGGAATAAGCAGTTGCCTGGCAAGCTCAAGGACCTGAGTTCAATCCCCGGTTCCGCAAAAAAAAATAAATAAATAAATAAATAAATAAATGGGGCTGGTGAGATGGCTCAGTGGTCTAAAGCACCTACTTAGAACAAGCTTAGCAAACACAGGGACCACGGTTCAATCCCCCAGCACCACATGCCAGCCAAACCCGCCCCCTGGTGGGCTGAGCTGGACACACACACACACACACACACATAAATAAATAAATAAATTAAAAAAAAAAAAAGATTAATATGCTAGTTGGGCATGGTGGTGCACACCTGTCACCCCAGCACTTGGGAAGCTGAGGCAGGAGGACTGGTGCAAGTATGAGGCCAGCCTGGGCTACATAGCCACATCCTCCCTCAAAACTGCAAAACCAACCCAATTAATATGCTAGGCATGATGTTACCATCCATAATCCCAGCCCCCAAGAGGTGGAGGCAGGAGGATTGGAAATTCAAGCCCAGTCTGGGCAATGTAGTGAGGCTCTGTTTCAAAATAGAAAGGACTGGAGTTGTAGCGCAGTGGTGACTGCTTGCCCAGCAGGTGTCAAGCCCTGGGCTCTATCCCTGGCACCCCCTTCAGAAGAAAAAAAGTAAAAATAAAAAACCTAGACAGAAAATGACTTGGTGAGCTGGCCAGGTAGCTCAGAGGATTAAAGCACCTACATAGGCAGACACAGGAACCAGGGTTCAATCCTTGGCTCTGTGCCAGCCCCGCCCCCTGGGCGTGCTGAGATGGCGATTGAGACTGAGCGTGGTGGCTGCACCTGGAATCCCAGCACTTGGGAGGCTGAAAATAGGAGAATCACTATGAGTCTGATCTATGTAGTGAGACCCTATAGACTCTGTACTAAATAAAAAGAAAGAAAAAGAAGAGAAAAAAGAAAATGACTTTGCAAAACTCGATATGCAGCCTAAATGGAGCATTTTAATGTTTTCTTGAGACAGGGTCCTGGTACATAGTTCAGGCCAGGCTTGAACTCACTGTGGAGCCCAGGCTGACTTCAGACTCTCACCAGTTGCAGAATTATAGGTGTGGGCCACCGTAGCCGGCTACATTTGATTTTGAAACAGAGTCTCACTTTGCCCAGGCTAGTTTTGAAGTACTGGGCTCAAGCAGTCCTGCCTCAGCCTCCAGAATAGCTGGGACCACAGGCTCTGCCACCAGAAATACTGAACATTTCTTTCACTGACAAAAATCAGATTCACATTCTAAATTTCAGAAAACAATGAACTTACAGCCAGAAAAAGCAGCAGGGCCTAGGTGTGGCCCCAGTAGATATCACCTCTGTCCCTGGGTGGGTAGCAAGGGATGGAGGGGACAGGGCCTGGGGTACAGGAGGGGTCTGGAAAAGACAGGCTGTGCCCAGGCTCTGGCCCTCTTGTGGGTTGGGACACAGGGGTCCCTAGGGCTCCCCGCAGCTTTGGTCAGCCCACCATGGACTCAGGGCTCTGGGTGCCCACACACTGTGGGGACTGTTAAATCTGCCTGCCCTGTCGCCCTCCTCACCTGCCCTGTCCCCACAGACCCAGGGTGCCATGTATGAGCTGCTGTCGGAGCTGCACGCCCAGCATGAGGAGCTCGAGGCCCGCCTGGCCGCACTCGAGGCCCGCCTGGACTCGCTGGGTGTCTCCCTTCAGGCCCTGCCCAGCCTTGTCGCCCAAGCCACCCGGCCACCCCCACCACCCCGGCCCGGCCCAGCAGCCCCAAGCCCACCCCACCGCTGGCTGCCCACCAGCTCTTCCGACTGTGGGTGACGCCTGCCCACCCAGACCTCAATCTTGGCCATTGTGTGGTCGCCCCTCACCAGGGCTGAAGACACAGGAGCTGGTCCCCTGGACCGAGGGGCATCCTCTGGTCACCAGCCCAGGACTGTCCCTGGCCCCTGACGGGTATCGAGGAGCAGGGAGGAGTCCTTACCTGTCCTCAGTAAAGCCAGACCCACCGGGCACTGCCTTTTGGTGAGCCCTGCACACACAAGGCACAGTGCACAGTGGCTCCAAGGACACCAGCTCTGTGACTGAACTTGCCTGGAGCCACACTGGACACCTTCAGGTGGGGACAGCTCCTTGGTACCATCAATACCACCTCATCTGCCGCCACCTGGCACGTGGCTCGGACCTAGCCAGAAGAAGGCAGCAGATAACTGAGACGTTGGCCCATGTCCAGTGGGGGCAGGGACGTGGGTGAGGGGCTGTCCACTTGCCACTGGACTCCAGTTGGACACCTGGTGTGTGCAAGGCCTGTGGTGTGACTTCAGAACACAACCAGGGCAGGTGGTGTCGGGAGGGGAACACAGGCTCAGAGGGGCAAATCCACTTGCCCAGGGCCACACAGTGCAGAGGGATGGAGCCATACATAATTCCAGATGGGGAGTACGAGGCCCAGAGGTGGGCCTCCAACTGGGTGTGACGGCACATACTTGTAATCTCAGCACCTGGGAGGCTGAAGCAGGAGGATCACGGAAATTTTGAGGCCAACCTGGGCTGCATAGTGAGCCTCTGTCTCAAAAAAAAAAAAAAAAAAGCAAACAAAAAGAACAGATGCAGACGTTGGACTTGGTGGTGGGGGCTCCCTCAGCGGCACAGGATGGGGGTTTTGGGACCCTAGGTGGTGCCATCTGGGCCGGCTTGGGGCAAGATGGGGCTACCTGCACAGGCAAAATCAGAATCCAGCCTCTGGACTGGAACAGGGCAGGTACCTGGCTGGCAGAGGGGATGAGGGTCCAGCCAGGTCCTGACAACAGGACCTAAGACCCAGAGAGGAAGGGGAAGCCTTGGGGCTTCTTGTGGGGCCTGGACAATGGCCACCCTTCCGGGGACCCTAGCTCTCTCCTAAGATGAGATGACAGAGACTTAACCAGGACCTTTGAAATGTTCAGGCAGTCAGTAGGTGTTCAGGAAGTGCCCCTCCTGGTCTGGGTTCACCAAGGGGTTAGAAGGCAGCCGAGGCCAGAGAAGGCGGGGCTGGCCCAAGTGTGGGAGGTGGGGCTCACTAAGGGAGGGACCCCCACTCCCCCGGGTCCAGTGTGGACTCAGCGTTGGGAGGGAACTAGTGGTTGCAGCGCGGCGACGGAGCCATAGGGGAAACCCACGAGGCTGGAGGTGACAGCCAAGGCAGAAGGCCAGGTGCTGGGGACAGGGACACGCAGGGCGGCGCAAGCGCGGCCACATCCGTCTCCGCCCGCCGACAGCAGGGCCCGCCGGGTCCTCCGAGGAGGCGCAGGGCCGGGAAGCCCGCGGGCGCCATGCCCCCTGGCGGCGCGGTGCGTGGCTTTGCGCTGGAGCTGGCGCGGGGCCCGGGCGCTGCGGTCCGCGCAGGGGTGTCGCTGCGGGCGGGCTGCTGCTGGAGGCCGCGGGGCCCTGCAGGTGAGCGCGCTCGAGGTGGCCGTGCGCGGAGAGGCGGCCGCGCACTGGCTGGAGGCGCGCAGCGTGGGTGGCCGCCCGGTGGCCAGCGACCTCGCGGCTGCCGAGACCCTCCTGCGACGGCGGCAGCTGCTGCTCCCAGGTGAGGTGCGCGGACCCGATCTCCGTCAGGACCCCTGCCCTGCGCGCGCTCGTCACAGGACGCTCCCCGCCGCCTAGGACCAGAGCCCAAGTCCCGGGGGCCCGCTCCAGGTCCCAGGGAGCCCTGGGACTTACACGCTGTAGGGGAGAGACCCTTCTGCGAGCCAGTGGTCCCCATGCCACCCAGCATCTGGGGAGCCCAGTGGGAACCGCGAGTCCCGCCAGGTGTGCTAAGTTTAAGGGCCCCAGTTCTCAAAGAAGGGCCTTGTGTCATTCACATGCTACTCAGTGCTCTACCTCAGTTTACCCCGCAGTGTCTGCCGCTATGAGTTCGGCCGACCAGTGTTGGGGATCGGCGGTGGCAGTGCCTCCCCCCGGGAGGGACGGGAAAGGATGGCGTCTTCCGAGGGTCCTGGGACCCCCGCGGGTGCCTTACTGCCGTGATGGCTCGCGCGCTTCCCAGAAATATGTTTGCGGCTCAGGGGAGTGGTGGGCAGGACCCGGGCGAGGGGGAAGCAGCTGGCCGCTCCGGAGCCCCGTGGTGGCTCCTGAGGATGCGAGAGATCCCGGATCACCCGCGGAACATTGGCGCGGCGCGATGTGGGAGCTGCAAGGGGCCGAGGCCGGGGCTTCCTTTCCCTGGGCTGGAGCGCGCTGGTCATCGCAGCGCTGGAAAGGCTGAGGCAGGACTGCGAGTTCGAGTGTTACCTGGACAGTTTAGCGAGACTGTCTTAAAAGAAGGGGGAAAGAGCCGGGGAGATGGCTCAGTAGAATAAGCGCTTCCTTGGCAAGCGCAAGGGCCTGAGTTCAATCCCCGTTCCGCAAAATAAATAAATAAATAAAAGGGGGGGGGGAGCCAGGCGGGTCTGGTGGCGCACGCTAGTCATCCTAGCTCTTGGGAGACTGAGGCAAGAGGATCGCTGCGAGGTCGAACCAGTTTGGGCTACATAAGTGAGCTCAAGGCCAGCCTAAACTGCATAGCCAGACCCTGTCTCAAAAAGACCAAAAAAGGACCTGTGAGATAGCTCAGCGGACTAAAGCGCCTGCTTAGGCACTGTGCCACCGCCCCCCCCCCCCTGCACCCTCAGACCCACCTCAGCCCTAGGGCGTTGGGTCCTGGCATCACCCACAGCCCTCCCACAAGCTGACCCCTTCACTACAGCCCATTCCAGCCCCAACTAAAGGCCAGGGTGTGGTGGTGCATGCCTGTAATCCCAGCTCTGGGGAGGCTTGAAAGCAGGACGATCACCACGAGTCCAAGCTGCATAGTGAGACCCTGCAACAACCAAATGCATTGTATATATTATTCTGAAAAAAACAAAAAATAAAATAAAAAGGAATGAAGATGTAGCTTGGTAGGAGAGTGCCCCGGGGTTCCATCTTCAGACCTGGGGAGTGGGGAATTTTTGGGCCTCTGACGCTTACTTAAAACCCTGAAGGGGGCTATCATACCTTTACACAATAGCCTGTGTTGTGTTGTGTCCCTAACTTTTATCTTTTTTTTTTTTTGTATGCAATGAATTTTAAGAACAAAAATAGGTTGAATGCTGGATTTGACCTGCAGATTGTAATTTGCTGACTTTGTTCTAGCAATGATTCTTCTGGCCAATAGAAAACATTTGATTATAGTTCTTGATAGTATTTAGCAGTGGATGAAGTTAACTGCTAGCTCCAACCTTATTACTAGTCCTTCTTATCCCCTTTGTAGATTTTCCTCTTCTGTTTGAAATGGGCTGTTGAAGGGTTTATTTTGTCTTTATTATTTATTTAAGGGAAAGGTCTCACTACTAGATCGGACTCATAGTGATCTGCCTGTTTACAGACAGCCTCCTAACAACTGGGATTACAGGAGCCCTACCATGCCCAGTCTCAATTGCTGTCTCAGTGTGCCCCCTGGGCGGGGTGCAACTGCAGGCCCGGGGATTGAAGCCCTGGCCCCTGATTTTTTTTTGTCTTTTTGAGACAGGATCTCATTATGCAGTTCAGGCTGGCCTTGAGTTCACTGTGTAGCCCAGGCTGGTCTCGAACTCACAAGGATCCTCCTGCCTCAGCCTCCCCAGTGCTGAGATTACAGGCGTGCACCACCATGCCCTAGCCTTCCCTTTTGCTTTCTTGAATAAACTTCGCCACTGCTTAAAACAAAATGGCACAACTCGGTACAACCCTGGAAGGATGCAGCTGCTGGCTGAGCCGGGCTGCGCGCACCCCTCCCCGGGCGCTGGCTCGGGCTGTGTCCTCCGCGCCTGTGACCCCCGCTGCACCCTCAGGCCCCCCCTGGTCCTAGCGCGTTGGGGTCCTGTCATCACCGCAGCCCTCCCCCAAGCTGACCTCTGCAGTGCAGCCCGTGCTGGCCTGCTCGGGCTCCCTGGCCCCTACTAGAGGTGCTGAGGCCTAGAAGGTACCCGTGTTTTCCCTCGAGGCGGAGGGTGACCTCCCCGGAAGAGATGGGCGCAGGAGCGGTAGCGACAGTCGACACCACCAGAGGGCGCCATCGCCCCGCGGACGCGCGCCCGGCGACGTGTCCAAGGGTGGGAAACTGAGGCCCGGAGCAAGGTCGAGGGCTGGCCTTTGATGGCATGGGGGCGGGGTAATACCCAGGGTGTGGTGATCCATGCGCGATCCTTGGGCCCAGCCTGATCTCCCTGCTCTCGGGAGTGGAAACCGAGGTCAAAAGATTATCACCAACTTGGGCAGGGCGTGCTCCGAATCACGTCTGCAAGTGGCGACCGGTTGATAATTAAGCTGAGCGCAGGGTGCTTGGCTAGGTGGACTCAGCTTCTCCGCCGTCTGCGGGGCGCTCAGAGGCCCGGCCTGGCGCGCAGCCTTGCGGGGCAGCGCTGTGTGTTGTTTTGCTCCCAGCCGGAGCGTGAAGCCTTGCCCCTCTGGCGTGCTATTGGTCGAATCCCGCCCTAAACGGGGGCGCGGCTCGTCCCTCCGGTCCCGCCCTATTCCCTGCTATAAAAGCCAATACTAAACCGAGTTTGGAGCTGTGGTTGGGTGGTTCAGTGCGCTTGAACCTTCTTGCTGGCCGTGCGTTTGCACCCCGCGCCTGCAGTTCCTCCACGTCGCGGGTTCGAGGTCTGGGTCTGTGCGTAGGGTGTGTGCCCTTCCTGGCCGAGACGCGATGCTGCTCGACAAGGTGAAGGCGTTCGCTGTGCAGCTGGAGGGTGCGGCGGCGGGCGCGGAGCCCGTGTTCAGCGGCGGCCAGTGCTTGGCGGGCCGGGTGCTGCTGGAGCTGGCGAGCGCGGTGCGCGTGGGCTCCCTGCGGCTGCGGGCGCTGGGTCGCGCGCACGTGCACTGGACCGAGTCCCGCAGCACCGGCTCGAGCACCGCGTACACACAGAGCTACAGCGAGCGCGTGGACTTCGTGAGCCACCGCGCTTCCCTGCTGGGCTCAGGTGCGGAGGGGTCCCGGGGGTCCCCAGGCGTCCCCGTCCCCTGCGTGTCGCCCCCGCCCCCTTTCGCTGTTCGTGCGCTGAGCCCTTTCTTCTGTCCAGCAGACACCGGCGAGCCCACAACCCTGCCTGCCGGGCGCCACGAGTTCCCGTTCAGCTTCCAGCTGCCCCTGTAAGTGCAAACCTCGGCGTGCGGGTGCTGGGGAGCCCCCGGGGCCTGGGGGTGGCAGGCCCTGGGATTGTCCCCTGTGGGAAGGATACGGCCCAGCGCATCCCTGCCACCCCGTTCCTGCTATGCCCCACCCCAACGGTGGCTCCCACACCCCAGGACCCTGGTGACATCTTTTGAGGGCAAGCACGGCAGTGTCCGCTACTCTGTCAAGGCCACTCTGCGCAGGCCCTGGCTCCCTGCACGCCGCACCAGGACCGTGTTCACTGTCATCGAGAGCCTAGACATCAACACCCCCGAGCTGCTGGTACGTGGCTGGGGAAGATGGAAGGCAGGATGGGATGGCACCAAGCGGGCAGTAACTGTGTGCCCCGGAGGGAAGGAGGCAGGGAGGCAGGGAGGAAGGCCGGCAGACGGGCAGACGCCAGCAGGGACCCTGGCGCTGGGCCCCTCCTGCTGTGACCCACCTGCTTCGTGGCTCCAGGGGACCCTGACCCTCTGATAGTTTGCTTAGCATAGCTTCTCCCTGAACAAGTGTTCATTGCACCCGAAGGGCTTGGCCTCCCTTTCTTTGTTCTGTGTGTTTGACACAGGGGCTCACTATGTAGCTAGGCTGGCCTCAAACTGAATCATCCTGCCTCAGCCTCCCGAGTGCTGCGATGACAGGTGTGCACCCCCACACCTGGCTGGCTCCACTTTCTGTGGTATAAGAGGGTCCTGTTCAAGACGCTGCAGGATTTTGCTCATAGTTCTTAGGTGATAAAAAGTAGCCAGGTCCTGCTCCCCAATGACCCGCTGGTGTCCCAACCCTGGCAGGCCCCCCAAGCAGGAGCCCGGGAGAAGGTCGCTCGCTCCTGGTACTGTAACCGAGGCCTGGTGTCGCTTTCTGCCAAGATCGACCGCAAAGGCTACACCCCAGGTACCAGGCAGGAGGGAGTGGGAGATAGACAGGGTAGTGGGTGGGGTCAGGGAAACTGAGGCCCCGGCTCTGCTTCCTGCAGGAGAGGCGATCCCCATCTTTGCTGAGGTTGACAACAGCTGTACGCGTCCTGTGCGGCCCCGAGCAGCACTGGTACAGACGCAGACATTCATGGCCCGGGGCACCCGGAAGCAGAAGTGCCTGGTGGTGGCCAGCCTGGCCGGAGAGCCGGTGGCCCCGGGGCGGCGCACGCTGTGGCAGGGCCGCGCACTGTGCATCCCCCCGGTGGGGCCGTCCATCCTGCACTGCCGCGTCCTGCGTGTGGACTACTCGCTCAAGGTGCCCCCCGTTGTAGTCGGGTCCTCAGGGCGCAGGTGTGGCTGCCGCCGCACTCCCATCATGCTGCCTCTCCCTTAGGTGTGTGTGGACATACCGGGCTCCTCGAAGCTACTCCTGGAGCTGCCCCTGGTCATCGGCACCATCCCCTTGCACCCCTTTGGCAGCCGCTCCTCCAGCGTGGGCAGCCAGGCCAGCTTCCTGCTGGACTGGGGGCTGGGCACCCTGCCGGAGCAGCCAGAAGGTGAGCAGCCTTCCCTGCCTGATACCTGTGGGTGGCTGGGGTGGTCACACTGCAAGATGGGTGTCCGAAGATCCCTACCTGCCAACCCAGCTCACCCTGTGGGCCTTCCCTAGCCCCTCCTGAGTACGCAGACGTGGTGACAGAGGAGGAGGCAGCCGTGGCCACCATCCAGAGCTCCTTCCCATTACTGTGTGACGCCCTCACCAGCCTCGAAGGCCCCTACTTCACTTACCTACAGGAGTGCCGCTTCCATCCACCACCCCTGTATTCGGAGGTAAGCTCAGGGTTCCCAGATGCAATCCCCTCCCTGGCCTCTCTGACCTCCAGTGCCTCAAAGTTTCCAAGGTGATAGAACTCCTAAGCATGCATCAAAGCCCCAGCCTGCCTTGCCTTCCATCACCCATATCTACCCTAGGCAGGCATTACCCCCTGACTCACAGAAATACTCCACCCAGGAGGATCCAAACCCAACTTCGAGGCCTCGCTGCATGACCTGCTGAGTGGCAAGCAGACCCTCGGAATGAGGTTGCACATGACTTTCTAGCCACTGTGGCCATGGAGGACACCCAGGCCAAGGGCCAGCAAGCCTGACTCCTTGAAACCAGGGAAACTGAGTCTCAGAGCAAAGAAGACAATGCTGATCCAGTGTCACCATCGCAAAGGTCTAAAGGAGACCCCAGAAGGAGCCTGACGCATGGCGGAATCAGTGGCCCAGTGGGGCAACTGGGAAATGTGGGCCTGAGGTTGCAGGCAGTGCTGGGGCCCAGCCTGAGGCAGACAAAGCCAGATGTAAACACTCGAGAACCAGAAGGAGGGATCTGGGCAAGTCCCATGGGGAAGCGGAGAAGGCTTCTTGGCGGACATTTGACCTGGGGTATTGCCGTATGAATAGGAAAGAGCTCAGTGTCAGATGAGGAGGAAGAACAGTGAGAGAAGGGTTTGGAGGCCACCCCTTTATCTCAGAATCTGGGGCCTTAAGTGCAGGGATTCCAGCCAAGGCCACACTGTGAGCTTGGATGGACAGGGGACAGGGAATTCCAGAAACCGGCACAGTGGAACAGTGGGGGCAGCTGGCTGCCCCACCCTGAGTGCCCTCCCTGCCTGGGGCTGGGTCCGAGGAAGCTGGGCACCCTCGCACACCGACCATCCATCCACCCCTTTGGTACAGTTATGTTTTTAAAACAATAAAAGTGTGGACCACGAGGCAGGCATGCCGATTTCTCCTGGACTGCTGTGAGGCCGCTGTGGCTGCCGCCCTGAGCCTCCAGCTTAGGACCTGATTCCAGGCAGGAAGGGCGGAGGGGCTGTGGTCCCGGGGAAACTGAGGACGGGGCTGGGAAGAGGTCTGGGCCCCTGCAGAGATCCGGCCCAGTTCTGGGCTTTTCAAAAATGGCAGTGACATCCACCCACAGAGAGCCAGGCACCGTGCTTCAGGGTCTGCTCCCGAGCAGGCCAGGGCCCGTGTCCCCTGGGAGGACCCTACCCGCCCCTGGCAGCGTCCGCGCTGCTCCAGACTGGGACTGCCTATTTTCTCTTTGTTTGGAGACAGAGCCTTACTATGTAGCCAAGGCTGACCCCTAACAGCAGGGGCTCCTGCTGCCTCAGCCTCATGAGTGCTGGGATCACAGGTGCGCCACCACGTGGGGGTGGACTTGGTTTATTCCAAACGCATCAGTGGGTCACATCATGTGGCCATTTGTGTCTGGCTGCTGTCCTTCAGCCTGTTTCTGAGGCTCACTCATCATGCAGCATGGGTCAGCGGCCTGCTCTTTTTGGTGTGTGTGTAATATTCCACTGTACCAAGGGAACATCTTGTATTTCTCCCCATCTGTGCGTGGGTGTGTCAGCTATTTCCATGCGTGGACTACTGCACCACCAGTGTGCAAGAGGGGTTGCTGAGCTCCCTGCCTTCTGAGGCAGCTCTGGTGGCATGAGATCGTCCCTCTGGAGGTGGAAGTCGGCCCAAAAGATTAAGGGCGACATCACAGGGACTCGCTGGACAGGCCTCACAGCTCAGCCCCACCCACAGCCAAGGCTCCGCCCAGGCCCGAGGCCCCGCCCCCAGGGTCCAGTCCCGCCCACAGAGGGCGAGGCCACGCAGTTCTGAGGAAAAGGCGCGCCCCGGCGCAAAGAGGCGGGATAATGGGAGGCGGATAATGAGGCCAGGTCCTCCGTGGGGGGGGGGGGTCTAGGGCTGCACAGCTGGGGTGACCAGAGTTGGCCACTTTTCTTTTTTCTCATTTTTTTCCTGTTCATTTTATTTTGCAGTGGGCATTGAGCCCGGCACCCTCCGGCTGAGCTACACCCCCAGCCCCCCCCCACCTCCCACCCCCCACCCCCCGTCTGCTTGCGTTCTTTCATTTCCGGTCACTAAATGGTCATACTGGGCCCAAACTTTTGAACCCTCCGGCCTCAACCTTCCTACGTGCTGGGATGACAAGGTGCACCACGAGGCCTGGCTGGTTTCTGAGATACTTTATAAAGAACTACAAGGCAGGAGGTCAGGGCTGGAGATGTAGCCCAGCGGCACAGAGCCTGCCTGGCAAGTGCAAGGTCATGCGTTTGATTGCTCTTACCCAAAACAAAACACAACAACAACAAAACCGGCGGGGCAGGAGCTCCCCGTCACAGGAGGTGTGCAAGACAGGAGCCGGCGTCAGACCTGCGTCGGAGGCGAGGGCAGCCTAGGTGTTTACGTAGAGCTGCGCGTGCACAGCCGCGTTTGGGCAGGGAGGACGGGACGCCCTGTGTCCCCAGGACTCCTGAGTCGGCAGCTCTGGGGAATCTGATCCCTAGAGAGACTCTCCGGGCCAGTTCAGTGGCAAACAGGGCAGCACGGGCCCGTGGGCCCCATGCCAGGCACCCTGAGCACTCCCGCCCGGTGCTCAGGAACACCCGACCCCAGGACCTTTGCACAGGCCGCCCCTGGCCTCCTCACCCTCAGAAGTGAGGCTGTGTCCCCAGCCCTGCGGGCACAAGAAGGAGGGTTGTGCACTGGCTGAAGGCAGAGGACCCCAACTTGATTTGGGTAAAGGTTGGGGGCAGAGGATTCAGCATGGCCATGCAGTGCTGTCCACCGGGCCCTCATGGGCCGTCTCTGTCACTAGTCCTTGTCTCCCGCGTCTTTGTCACCATTTGTCCCTGGCAGTGGCTGGGTGCCAGGAGGGCAGGGCGGCCGTCCCTCCCTGTCCTCCGTCGGGCGGGCTGGCTGGCACGGGGCCCAGCCGGGCTGCCGTTCAGGAATCCGGAGCCGCCAGCTCCAGCCACCAGCTCGGCCACCGCCTGCTGCTGCCTCTGCCCCAGCACATTCTGTCCCGAGCGGGGCGGGGGCGGCTGGGAGGGAAGAGGTCCGCCTGGCGGCTCCAGTTACGGCACAGCCTGTCCCCAGCCGGGCCCCCACGGCGCGGCCTGTGGTGCCCTCTTCTTCCCAGCCCCGGTTTAGGTCCTCCTGGGTGAGGCTGCGGCCAGCAGCACCAGGTGACCGCAGGACCTTTGCACCTGTTGTCTAACAGCCTGCACCCAGCACCAGGTCCCTTGGGGCCCCTCCGGCTCCCGGGTCTCAGGTCACCCATGTGGTCTCCTGGCCCAGCCGGCATCTCTGCGGGTCCATATTCACCGTGTGGCTATGGCGTCTGCCCATCCCGCTGCCAGATGGAGGCACCTGGGGCACACGGGAATCCTGGCCCTGGCTGTCCGGGGAAGTCCCCGACCCCAGGAAGGTACAGGCCTGGCAGGGGCCCAGGTGCAGGCATGACTCACTCAGTGACTGTGCCTCATGCATCCGGGGTACAGGAGGGCACATGGAATATCTGGTGCAGCCCACTCCTCTGCCCTGTGCAGCTCAGCTCACAGGGAAACTGAGGCAAAGCAAAGGTAGCTGGGGGTACTCTGGGGTCCATTGCGAGGCCCACTTGTTGGATATGTAACCAGTTCTGGACGCCTAGGGCCTGTCCTTCCCAGGACACAGTGAGGAGTTCTGAGCTAAGGAGGTGCTGCTGCCCCAGCCAGTCCTCCAGGGGGTTTGAAGCTCCCAGGAGGTCATAAAGGCCTGTGTGCCCACCAAGAGGACAACAAAAGCCCCAAAGACACTGTGATAGGGAGAGACAAGGACACTTCCAGTTAAGGAGGTCACTAGAATGTCAAAGGGAAATGGGAGGCTGGAGAGTCCTGGGAAGTGTTCTGAGAGGAGAGGATATCAGAGGCAGGGCTTTGATAGATGCAGAGGAGTTCACTAGGGAACGGTGTTTTAGGCAGGAGACAGTATATTCTCAGCTGCCTTAGAGGCTCTAGCGGGCCAGGACATAGAGGGGCACATGGACAGGAGGGGCTAGGTGGCAAATAGGAGCATCAGGTCAGCATTACCACTTTAACCCCGTTCTCTTCATCTGGTGAAGCCAGAGTGTGAGATGAGTTCATAGGGCAGAGCACGGTCTGTAGAGCTGGATTCCGCTGAGACGCACAGTTCGCAAACAGGAAGGTGGCCCTTGAGGTGCCCTGGCCGGATTTCCTGCCCTCACCCATGTTCCATTGCACGCACGCGCCAGCAGGCAGTGTGGGTAGCAGGTGGCAACACTTGTGGCGCATGTGCGTCCTTGCATCTCAGCGCACTCGTCTGCAAATCTAGGCCTCCTACTACTCCATCCAAGTCAGCCCAATCCTGAGCGCCTGTCATCTCACCTGCACCAGCGGCTGAGGCAGGATGTCCCTAGCAGTTCAAATCTCAAAAAAATGCAAAGGGCTGGGCTGTTACCCAAAGGAAGCTTGCCAGGGCAGGATTTCTAACAGGGATCTAACAGGGACCCCCCCCCCACCCCCGGCTGCTGGTGCGCAGGCGCATGGCTCACTGCCCGCTCCTCGCTGTTCGGGAGGGCAAGCCTGTGTCACCCCCGGGCTTGGCATGGCTGCGACCTTGGAGGATGGCCTGGGGCGAGTCACCTCCCGTCTCAGCTGTCCCCAACTGCCCCCTCGGCTGAGAGTATTTGGTTCCTACTGCGTCCCCTCCAGAAAGGCCATGTAAGCCCCCGACACCACCCCTAGGGCTATGGACCAGCCACAAGAGCCTATCCTAGAACAGCTGCAGCCTGCCTGGCCGGGGCCTTTGCACCTGCTGCCCCTCCTCAAGGCCCCGCCCATCACCCCGAGTTCCTGCCCTTCGCCCCTTCCTGCTCTCTCTCCTGTACTTGTGCTTCATGTTTTGTTCTATGACAGGACAGATCTCTCGCCGTAGCCCAGGCTGCCTTGAACTCGAGACCATCCTCTTGCCTCAGCCTCCTGGATGCTGGGATGACGTGCAGCTCCAGCCACCTGGAAGAATCTAGGGTATTTGGCAGCTCAGCTCATTGTGTCAATGGGAAGCCCAAGGTCGGGAGGGACTCGTGCAGCGTGAACCAGGCTGTGTGTCCCAGCTGGCCCTTGCATGGCCCCCTGGTACCCCGAAGCTTGCAGCCTTGCCTGGCAGCATGAGACCCTCCTCCCTCACCCCAGCTCCTCCTATGTCCTGAAATATCCTGTTTGGAGCATCTAACTATTGTTTTTATTTTTTAAATCAGATTTTCAGGCCAGGGGGATAGCTTGGCAGTCTAAGCGCCTGCCTGGCAAGCGCAAGGACCCAGGATCAATCCCTGGCGCCACATGCCGAGCCAGCCCCAGGTGCACCCTGCTGCCCTGAAACTGGGCGTGGTGGCGCATGCCTGCAATCCCAGCACTGGGGAGTCTGAGACAGGAGGATCACTACACGTCTGAACTGCGCAGTGAGACCCTGTACCAGAGAGAGAGAGAGAGAGAGAGAGAGAGAGAGAGAGAGAGAGAGAGAGAGAGAGATCAGATTTTATTGCTACACTTTAAGTATACGTAAGGATCCCATTCATCATAGGGAATTTGTACCTGTATGTGACGTAACTTGGGTTCCCCCCCTTTGTCCCCCATTCCCCTATCCTCTCTTCAATTTAGTATTTGGAGACAAGATCTCTCTATGTAGCCCAGGTCAACCTGGAACTCCATGGTGACTCTCCTGCCTCAGCCTCCCAAGCGCTGGGATTGCAGGAGGGCTCACCACACTTCACGAGCTCTAAAAAAAATCAATGCACATAAACTTCTCCTTAGGTCACCCAGACTCTGCCAGCCCCTGGGGAAACATTCAACGGGCTACACATTTAGGCTTTAGCCAGGCGTGGTGGTGCACCCCTGTGGTCCCAGTGCTCTGG